TTTTTTGTTAGGAATGGGATAGTTTTCTTGTGTACAGATTAATTAAGTGTATATGTCGGGGGGGGGGGGGGGGGGGGGGGGGGGGGGGGGCTGGGAGAAGAGTGGCTTAACCTTGACAATCTCTGACCCTGCCACTAAAGCCAGAGACTGGTGACGGTTTGATTGGGTGTCTGCGTGGCGATAGAAGAGAGCATATCCTGCCGGGTTGTGGGTTTTGTACACCAAAGAAGATATTGCCTGTCGCACGTACTGGGGACCGAGGCGATTGTAAAGCCCGTTCAGCCAGAGGGTCCAGGCAATAGGTGGCCACACGGCGGGAAGTCAACTGTCTATGTATTACCTGTACTTCCAATAAAGATTGTCGTGTGTGCTCTGTGTGCGTTCGGGTTCAGTGTGTGTTAAAGGTTAGTGCTGTCTGTCATAGGCCCAGTTACGAGCCACGGACCGGCAAGGTCATACCAGAGGTCTGTGACAACTGGTGCGTACCCTGTAAATACGCTGTACATATAGAACATCGTAAATGCTAGTGTCACTCTAGTAGAGCGACAGACGGACGGGTGTGTGGATGAACGGGTTGATGGATGAATAAATGGATATGGGTGGATGGGTGGATTGCTGGGTGGACGGACAGTCAGACTGATTGATTGATGGGTGGATGGGTGGATGGATTGATTTATTGATTGATGAATTGATGGATGGATGGACTGATTGATTGATGGACTGATTAATGGACTGATGGATGAATAAATAGATAAGGGTAGATGGGTGGATTGTTAGGTGGACAGACAGTCAGACTGATTGAATGATGGGTGGATGGATGGATTGATTGATCGATGGATGGATGGATGGATGGATTGATTGATTGATGGATGGATGGATGGATGGATGGATTGATTGATGGATGGATGGATGGATGGATTGATTGATTGATTGATGGATGGATGGATGGATGGATTGATTGATGGATGGATGGATGGATGGATGGATTGATTGATTGATTGATGGATTTATTGATTGATAGATGGACGAATGGATTGATTGATTGATGGACTGATGGATGAATAAATATGGGTAGGTGGGCGAATTGTTGAGTGGACAGACAGACAGTCTGACTGATTGATTAATTGATTTAATAATTGAATGATTGATTGACTATTTGATTGATAAGACATCATATAATCTTTAACTCCCGTGATACATCGGATGTGTGATGTGAAAGAAGGCGCTACTTCGACACTGACTGTAAGAGCAACGTGCTCCTCACCTCAGCTGTTAGGTAGAGAGTGTCCTCAAACTGTGGAGGCAGGTCACTATAGCAACTGTTGAACTTGGACGAGTTCATGATCAGGTTGTTCCAAACAGCGGGGGTGTTGGTGGGCTGGGAGTAGTCTTTCTTGCACCAGATTCCGCCTGGAATAAACAACAGCATTTTCACTCAAAGAGAGAGAGGGAGGGAGAGAGAGAGAGAGGTAGAGAGTGAGATAGAGAGTGAGAGAGAGAGTGAGAGATAGACAGAGAGAGAGTGAGATAGATAGTGTGAGAGAGTGAGAGATTGAGAGAGAGTAAAAGATAGAGTGAGAGATAGAGAGAGACAGAGAGAGAGAGAGAGAGAGAGACACAGAGAGAGACAGAGAGATATACAGACAGAGAGAGAGAGAGAGAGAAGAGACGTTGCTACTGAAAAGAATATAATTTAGTCATAATTTTGACATTTAAAATCGTTATAATTTAATGAGCGAAATTGTTCAGTCAAAATCCTTTACGCTGTCCCTCTTGTATTTTACTTTTGTACTCCATGGCATCGCAAACTACAAAGTCATCGGCCTCTTAACAAGGAAAAAAAAAATATACTCTGGAAAGAAAGAAAAGTGCCGGCAACCATGTCGACATTCCACATCTACTCTTCAAATGTATGATACATCTCCACTTGCAGTCACACGTCTAACATACAGGACTTACCTACGTCTGAGTCTAACTCATAGCAGACAGGTTCGAACCCTTGCTTTAGACATTCCTTCAGTGTCGCTATCCCTGCTGCTCCAGCCCCAACAACACAGGCAGTCTTGGACGTCATCTGATAATACGGCAGGCAACTTATAATAGGGTTTTCTTTACTTGAGTAGTAATACAAAGACCGATCGGATGTACCTCTCATAAAAATATATTACTATAATTAGGCCTATGTAAATTAGTAAGACCTTGTGGACCTAAACTTACATGGGTACTAGACAAAGTCATAGGAAGTAAAGGCGGCCGGCGCCATGCTGACCACATCGCTCACCACAGGTCTATAAAATATAGGTCAGGGACTATATACCCAATGTGCCTGAATGTGAGCAGAAAGGTCATTTAATTTTACACTAAATATTGAGTCTTTTGACAGACTGCATTTTTAACTTTAGGCCCAATTACTGAAATGATTGGGGCATATTGAAAGAATGTCAGATGGCAGAGGGGTAAACACTGTATACACAAGGGAGATGAATGGTCGTAGACCACGAGGCAGACCTAGAAGACGAGGGGGAGATAATGTCCAGAGAGACCTACAAACACTTGGTGTCACCAACTGGAAAGAGAAGGCCAACCAGAGAGATGAATGGAAGCTGGTGATATCTGCAGCGATGAACCTCAAGGGCTCGAAATGCTGAGGAAGAAGAAGAAGAAGTCCAATTATGTCTTTATTGTGCCCTTATACATCATATGGTGTTCGCAGTCTATCCCTCTATTCCGCCCACTCCTGTGCAGTTATTTCGAGATCATTAGGAAGTCCAGATCTAGCACCTTTACCCTCTCAACCATAGTCGTCATGGGTCTTCTCTTGGGCCTCTTTGTTTCCTTAATCCATTTACTTCTTAATGCAATGCTTTACGGGTAATCATCGGTGTGCTTCTCCTTGTATTGTGACAAACATATTGACATATTCTTTGTCGGGTATCTGTTGATATGAGCGGCTCTCCATACACTTCTATAATTTCTTCTCCTTTCTTCAAGTTCCTCACCCATCGTATCGTCTCTCGACATGCATGATAAGCTACAATGTAACGCTTTCCTTGCAACCGACAAGGGTGTCATGGGTGAACCGAAGAGGATCAAAGGGCACACACAGAGGTCAGCAAACTACAGACGATATGCTTTGTTGAATGTTGAATACTAAATGTTGAATAAGGAATCGACATCACAGCACTCGGGACACTCTCAGAAGCGCTCCGTCTCCATCTTCAGCAGCAAGCAACGAGTTCCAGTTCCTATGGTACCACTAACTGACTATATCTATCGTCTCGTCTTTTACTTCAGCTTTGTGAGGTCTGCATATTTATTGCATCAGGGTAACCGTGTGAACAGAATAGCCAGGTAATAATAGGAGCTAGTGCTCACACATATTCTTGAATGTTTAACGGTAATCGTTTCAGACTTTACGAACATGCTTCAGAAATCACAAATGCTATATTACTCTCCGAATGGGTAGAAAGCTTTAGAAAGTCGCAATTATCCGCCATCATCTGGATCTACACACATGGGTATTGGGAGTAAATGGTAATAAAGGGGCTGACCAGTTGGCAAGTGCAAACGGGAAGAATCATGGACAGAACTGATATCATCATCACTGTATTGACAACGCTGGGGAATAATGTCGAATCTCTGACACTAACACGATTGCATGACCTGCGAGTAAAGCTTGGTGAAGCACGTATACATCGTCTCCGAGGTCAAGACGAAAGACGCTACAACCAGCTTCTCGTAGAACCAATAAGTAGAGGTACCTTGGAGTGGCTGCTGCATTGAAGGACTGAGCACGCATGCGAATGGTCAAGTGCAACGTCATCGATTGCGTTACATTATGTAACTTAGTAAATTCACACCGTGTGGCGTTTTTAGTCATGTCAATCCACAACCTTCTCTCCCGTCTACTTTCACTCAACTTTAAAACAGATGATCCTCCATGCCATGATGTCAGACTGTCCAGCATCTGTTCTCTCGGTCTCCCTCTGCCTCTCCTCCCCTCCAGCTTTCTTACTGACTCCATCTTTCTCATTCTCCTGACATGCTCTAAGACTGTAGATTGTCTCTTTCTGGTGAGTGCAGTCAGTTCTCTCCGGGTTGTTGTTTCTTTCAAGACATCTTCGTGACTCGTTTTACCGAAGCGGGAGAGATGGCGAGAGCTTCTTTCATGCAGACCGTGATGAGAGCGACGTTCTGCAAAGACCTACTAATGATGATGATAACTAGGAAACTATTACCGCAAGACAAAACGCTACATTACATTCTGTGGGTGAAATGTTTGATCCTGGTGTTGTAAATATAACTTTCGATGTAAATATTGTCTTGTCCTTTTTGTGCTATTTCTTTCTTATGCATCTAAGAGTGCTAATTAGTATATTACAATCTGCTTATCATATACAATAAAATAATATATGTAAAAGCATTACCTTTAGCGGTACTAATGTCGTTCTTGATTTCCAGTGTAGTCGGCGTCGATGTTTAGATGGAAGCC